TCCCTTTCTCTACTATTACACCATCGAAAGCTAATCACCTGTCTCTTCATTATTGGTGCTCTGACCGGCACCCAGGGGGGTTTACTCATCCATTACCTGATCAGAACCTAACAGTCCCAAAGTCTCTACAACAAATTGGTCCTTCGAGCCGGATGAGTATTCCCTTCTGACACGATGGATCCTGATGAGGAGATTGTTAGTGGTGTTTGTCCTAAACGCCATACTCGTCCACCAGCTTACCTACAGCAGTATGAAGTAAAGTATACCCGAGGCAGACCTGTCGCTGAGTATGATGTCCCACACCCCCGGGAGGCACCTGTCCACCGGACTCCACCCCCCCCCCATCCTTCCAGCCTTACGCCGCCACTCCTGGTGGTTACCTGGTCTGTTCTGATGGCTCTCGAATCATGTCTTCAAATTATCAACCTCCACAGCATGCTGAATTCCATCAGCCATCCTTCTCCTCACCTCAAGCGGCTGGTTTCATTTCCTGTGCACACGACAGTGAACTACAGCACCTGCGTCATGAGCATACACAATTAATGCAGACTCATCAGGCTTTTCAGGCAGACCCGAGGGAGCTGAGAGAAGTCCGTGCGGAAGTCAGAGAATTAGTTCAAGTTGCTCAGTCCCTTCGAACTGACCTTCAAACCAGTCAAACGAGTGAAACCAGAGGCCAGAATCTCTCACCTGCACAGCCACCGGCGTTGCAGTTATCCAGTCCTCCTGTGAGGTGATATGAATCCACACCTTTAGCGGAGGATGGAAATTTTGCTGATCTTCCCCTACCGCCATGGCCTGAGCCTGACGTTGACTTGATGAACCAGGTGGGTGACCTTGCACTCTCAGACATGGGTGTCACTGTTTACCAACCGGTGATGCCAGAGACTAGAAAGTATTCCTTTGTGTTCTCGGCTAATGAAACACGCCCTCCTCAGCCTTATGCTCCTGACACTTGTGGGCTCCCCCCACCTCCTACCCCTAAAGAGCTTCGAGAGTTCCTCACATGGAAGGGCCATGCCCTTCCATGTTCCTCACATGGGAGGGCCATGCCCTCACCTG